TTAGCTGATATTTAACAAGAACACTTTTCAATCTGTGGTCCTTGATTGAAGGACAAGTAGAAAATACTTAGTTGTGCAGAACCTCTACAACCTTTTTTTACCCAAAATGCGCATGTTCATGTCTGGAAATAACACAAGGTCATCCCCACATTCCATCTTCTGGACAATTACCATAAAAAACACTTTTTCTTGGCCTGACATTTTACAGGCAAAATTAAGCAAGATTGTTCTGTCCCATGTCCTAATCTCTTGCTATTTGGAAATATATTGTGTAGTTTTGGCTTTAAAAATATTATCACTCAGAAATGGGCATATTCTGATCCCAATATAGGAGAATATTTGTAGCTGAGGGTTGAAAGGAGGGGTCCTTGGTGCTCTCTGAGCTTGGCTGTTTCCTTGCAGGCATTTCATTATCCAAAGTAGGTAATATCTATTAGCTCTGATGGTGTTAGCTAGTATGAGTAAGAAAACAACCAAACTCAGGACCCCTCTTATTCTAGTAGTCCACTTTTCAATAGCCAATGCAATAGCTGTTTATTATTTTTGATGTTGATTTTATTAGGACAAAATTTATTTACAATTTACATTGTAAATTTAAATGTGGCATGGGGATAGAAGTCAGCTAAAATTCTTCTCCAGTGCTTTTTATACCTGTTAGATTTTGTTCTTGGGAACTGACAAAGAAAAGAGATCCCAAAATCTCACCATCCCTTCACTTTGCAGCTCATTTACATCAATATGCACAACACCAAGAGATATTGTTACATGCTGTCTATGTCCTGTTACAATTGACATAAAAGCTGCACCTGGCTTGCTGCCAAAGCTAGAACATTGCTCCAACTCCATATTTCGCTTCCAAAATGTCACATTCCTTTCTTGTTATATATATATTCTTCTTTCTTCTCATAGCAGTGAGATTTCTGATACTCATACACGCACAGACATACAATCCTGTATGTGTGTGTGTGTGTGTAGAAAACGGCTTTAGATTTAATTAGCTGCCTGCAGGCATTATGCTGTTACTTTAAAATATGCTGGAACCATCTTGCTTTGACAGTGGTGTACCTGAAAGAAACACGACCAGACTGAGTTTTTTCAGTGGAAATAATTTTGGACCTTTGCCGAAGATTATTTTTATGTGTTTGCATGTTTATATGCATGTGCTTCTAACTCTTCATTATATCCAAAAGTCCATGTAAATAATTGCATTTCTCAGTTTGCCTGTCAACAGTTGTTCAGATATTTATTTTTGGAAAAACTTTACGATGAATGTAGTGATCAGTTTTTGTGAGTTTGTGAATAGAATTTTGATTTTCATATTTTGTAAATAAATCACTGAGCTGACTTGAGTTCTTATGAATGAAGATATCTTAGCACAATGCCTCTTTCTTCTCCAGTTCATTCAGATGTGCCTCTTTTCTTTCTGCTAACAGTTTTTAATTAGTGAAACTTCTCTTTTAATATCAACTGTATACAAGAGATCTAGCTGTTCTAAATTGCTGCATTAAGAAACTTCTTTGTATTTTAAAGTGTGGGGATTTAATCCACAAGAAATCCAGAACTAATTGGAAGGAAGATATTTCAGCAGTTTGAAATTCAAGAACAACTTTTTTTTTCAGTTCTTGTAATTAACAGTTGTACTAATTTTGAAAGAGGGAGAAGAATATTTTCATATCTTCAGAGAAAACTTCCTTGCTATTTTTTAAGCTATATACAGAGAAACCAAAAACTTTATAGCGCTTTCCAGCATTGTTTGCTATTGTTTTTTCTATTAAATAGAATTAGCAAATCTGTTCACTTTTGGGAATAAGACTGAGTTTTCTGGCTGCCAAAATTTCTCAGTCCAACTTGATTTGGAACAGCTGAAATGCAATTTCAGAACATCCCGGAAACAAGAGTTTATATTGGAATTAGGGTGCTGAATATTAATTTCTATAGTTTTGTAAAAATTTCTACAGCTTCGTAAAAAAGAAAATATTTTGTGAATTTGATTACTTATTTTTAAAAAAGACCCATAGTACAAAGAATGAATTTCTACTTTATCAGTGTTATTTCCTGTCGTTTTCAAGTGCAGAATTTACATTTGATGTGCACAATACAATCTCCACGTAAGAATGTTTTCAGACAAATGATCTGTCACATAGGTGTCAAGATGATATATTAATTGAAAAGGACTGTACTGTACCAAAATATGCACATTTGACAGTTCTGGAAGGTTTATTACACAGAAGTGTAAAAAAGGAGAATGAAACTTTTGTGATGTATAGAGATAATATGATACCTTCAAAAATGAGTTCTGAATGATCAGGTCACAAATGCCCATGCAGTAGAAAAGCTTGATCTAAAGCAGGGGTGTCAAATTCAAGGATGCTTAGATGTGGCCCGCAGGCCCACCCTGGAAACAGCGAAACACCAGCCCATTGTGCTTCTGCCTGCAAAAATGGAGCTTGGGAGGTCCATGCACAACCCTCCCAGGCTCCATTTTTGTCTGTAACAGCCTCCTACAGCCCTCTGCCAGTGAAAATGGAGCCTGGGGGGGCAGTACGCCCCTCCCCCCCAGTTCAATTTTTGCTGGCAGGAGGCTGTCATAGCCAAAAATGGAACTCGGGAGCCCATTTTTGTTAGCAGAGTACTCAGGCCACCGCAGGTACCCCCGACATGATTGACAAGCTGGCCATGCCCAGGGTGCCAAACACAACCCTGATGTGTCCCCTCAATGAAATTGAGTTTGATACCCCCGATCTAAAAGAAAGAAATTGAATCCAATATATTTTGAACAAAAATCATGAAGTCTGAACTATCATTTTAATAACTACCCCAAGTCAAAATCTGTTTGTATGGAACATATGCAAATGAATTAGCTGGTGCCACAAATTCTATAATAACTGCTATTGCTCTGGGAATTTTTTTGGTTGTGTAAGAATGGCTGTTGGGGTTGGAGAAAACAGCCTACTTATTACTATTACAAGAATCCATATGAACTGAAACGCAAGAAAAATACATGAGAAAGCATAGGACAAAACAAGTAGTAAATTTAGGGAAAGAAAAACTTGGTCCGTTTATAATGCTAATGTGATAAAGCTATAATGCTTCAGAAGTCTATAAATTATAAGAAATATAAATGTCTGTATGATAAGAAGTATAGGAAGTGTTGTGGTTAGCTGGCAGCAGGTGCGGACGGCTGAGGAGAGCGAGGACTCAGATGAGGGGCCAGGACCATTAGGGAGTGGACTGCTGCCTTCAGGGATTGTGGAGACTGGCAGTAGTGATGAGGAGGTTCCTGAGGAGCCTATGCCAAGTGCGTGTGCACGCAGGATTGCTCAGAGGAAAAAGCAGTTCCAACAGCATGGGCGACTGGGAGTAAGGCTGCTCCTCCTTCAAGAACATAAAAGCCAGCTGTGAACGAACGTACTTTGCAGAAGGAAAAGACATTTTGAAACTCCAGCCTTGTGGACATTCCAGTATCCCGAGTTTATATTTGAACATTTTTTCTTGCAAATTATTTCTTGTCTGTTATCTTTTGGCAAGCCTCTCACAGTTTGGCAAGGCTTGTGCTTATCACAGCTAATTATTTGATAAAAGCATTACAAGGTTTTTGTTCCTTTTGGATTGTGTTGATTTGTCAGAAAAGGGCGTGAGTCAGAACAGGAAGTCCTTGTCTTAAGAGCCTTCATTTATTAACAGTTTTAAATTATGTCAAAGGAATTTAAATCGATGCTTGAATTGACAGCAGTTGCAAGATCCCTCTAGTCATGTGATCAAAATTCAGGTACTTATGAAGGCTTGAACTCTTCCCTCTCATGTCTCCCTCATCTCTGCCTTTTGCACCCCCTCCTGCCCTGTGCCACCCCAGTTGACGTTCCTGCTCCTCATTCCTCCTCCTGCTGAGGCTGGCCTGTCCTGACCTGTCCTGTCCTTTCACAAAGCAGCTGCTGACCATATATTGTCCTCTTCCCCAGGTCTCATTCTGAGGAATATGCCACATGACAAGCAGCTGCCTTGCTAAGGGCCAGACTAGGCCTGCCTGCCTCATCAGCAATGAGAGCAAGAAGATGTCAATGGTCAGCTGGGAGTGCAAAGTGCAGGGTGCCAAGGCCACCTGTGGCTAAGAGTAGGCTGGGAGAACTAGGGGTTTTTTGCAGCCCAAAGCCATGGTGTGTCATATGAAGCCCAGCCCCCACCCAAAACACAGCGCAAAGTGGCTTCCTGACACACAACAGATAGTCATTCTCTGAGATCTCAAGACTAAATTCATATACAAAATTGGTTATATGAAAATGACTTTATACTTCTCAGATACATCTCATAGATTTGAGGGGAACACAAATGAATTTGGTCCATTATTCATGGTTTCATTGCTTGCTATTCAAAAGATTACAAAGAAAAACAGCCAAAACCAGTTTTAAGGTTTCTCGTATATCTGAATTTTTGAAGATAGTGGTGTTTTTCATGAAATGACTAAAACACTTATACTAAAGTAAACCTTTGGTTCTCATAAGGCTTCCTAGAGACAGTAGCAAAGTTTTGTATATTGTCTTGTTGTTGTTAGTTGCGAAGTCATGTCTGATGTATCGCGATCCCATGAACATGTTCCTCCAGGCCTTCCTGTCCTCTACAATCTTATGGAGTCCATTTAAGCTCACACCGACTGCTTCAGTGACTCCATCCAGCCACTTCATTATCTGCTGTCCCCTTCTTCTTTCGCCCTTAGTCGTTCCCAGCATTAGGCTCTTCTCCAGTCAGTCCTTCCTTCTCATTAGGTGGCCAAAGTATTTGAGTTTCATCTTCAGGATCTGGCCTTCTAAAGAGCTTGATTGATTTCTTCTAGGACTGACTGGTTTGATTACCTTGCTGTCCAAGGGACTGTAGGAGATCTTCTCCAGCACCACAGTTCAAAGGCCTCAATTCTTTGGCGTTCAGCCTTCTATATGGTCCAACTTTCAGAGCAACTGGGAAAACCATAGCATTGACAACTGGGAAAAACATAGCCTTGACTATACACACTTTTGTTGGCAGGATGATGTCTGCTTTTTAGTATGCTGTCTAGGTTTGGCATAGTTTTCCTCTCCAGGAGCAAACGTCTTTTAATTTCTTGGTTGTAGTCCCCATCCACAGTGATCTGGGAGCCCAGGAAAATAAAATCTGTCACCATCTCCATTTCTTCCCCATCTATTTGCCAGGAATTGAGAGGGCCAGATGCCATGATCTTAGTTTTCTTAATGTTGAGTTTCAAGCCAACTTTTGCACTCTCCTCCTTCACCCGCATCAAGAGGTTCTTTAATTCCTCTTCACTTTCTGCCATTAGAGTGGTACCATCTGCATATCTGAGGTTGTTGATATTTCTCCTGGCAGTCTTAATTCTAACTTGTGATTCATCTAGCCCCACCTTTCTCATGATGTGCTCTGCATGTAAGTTAAATAGACAGGGCAATAGTATACAGCCTTGCTGAACTTCTTTCTCAATTTGAACCAGTCAGTGGTTCCATGTCCAGTTCTCACTGTTGCTTCTTCTTCTCCGCATATAGGTTTCTCAAGAGACAAATAAGATGCTCTGGTACTCCCATCTCTGTAAGAACTTGCCACAATTTGTTGTTATCCACACAATCAAAGGTTTTAGCATAGTCAGTGAAGCAGAAGTAGATGTTTTCCTTGAACTCCCTAGCTCTCTCCAGGATCCAGCATATGTTGGCAATTTCATCTCTAGTTCCTCTGTCTCTTCAAAATCCTGCCTGTACTTCTGGTAGTTCTTGGTCCACATACTGCTGGAGCCTAGCTTGTAGGATTTTGAGCATAATTCTTCTAGCGTGTGAAATGAGTGTAATGGTGTAGTTTGAACATTCTTTGGCATTGCTCTTCTCTGAAATTGGAATGTAAGCTGGTATATTGTCTTGCACAACTGTTAATCCTAGGACAGTCATTGCAGATACATACACACACACACACACATACACACACACAAAATAGAAGATTCTTCTGATACTATAACAAAGAATGCCTATACTCTTTTTCCCACTGGAAAGAGAACATTAATTATTTAAATCCTAGCTTCACACACACACACACACACACACACACACACACACACACGATTATACTTATTTCAACTAACAACTGATAATCTCCTGAATGTTGGCAGTTCTTGCATAACTATTTCTTTGTACTTGGCGGAAGCCAGAGCTGCATATTAGATATTATCAATATGTACAAAATGTGGATATCATTAATCTTTTGAAGGCCAGGTACTGTTTTTATTATCTGCACATTTACAGCATCTTAAAGAGGAGACTGGATTTCTTTATCAGCTTTATCTCCACACATAAATGCTGTGTTTCTCTACCCATAGCTGTTACCCAACTCTACTTATAGAATGGCATTGCGTTTTATCTCTTATTCTTACTCTAAAATATTATGAGCAAACAAAACAATTTGAAATTACTGGGAGATTTCCAAATAAAATTTTAGATCAGGTATTAAGTAGTAAATGACATTCATGTAATTGAAATTTGATTTAAGCTCTCTTTATGGATTTTTTTTCTTTTTTTCTTTTACCTTTAGTCAGCAATAATGTAGCCGAACATATTTGGTTCCACAGAAGAAAACTAGTAGAGCAGCTAAAAGTCACATGAGATTAGCATCTTTTAATTTATCACTGAGGATATAAATAACTGGTTGGGCAGCATCTGTCTTGCAACACTTTTAAATAACTATGGGAAAGATAAAACTGCTTTTAGGATTGTAAACAGGTCCTGGTTCCCAAGAATGATTTTGTTTATCAGATCCAAATTGCTGCATTGCCCTAATGTGTACCAGTTGCACCATACTGTACAAGAATATACTTACTATACACCTACTATACAAAGAGTACAAATACTGCACTGTTTCTGGCTTCTGGAGTTTTCCCTGAATTTCTTATTCAAATATTATTCAGGTCACAACTATTCAGAGTGTGATAACAACCTTATTTCTGTACATAGATGGTCCTCGATTTATGACCTCAATGGAATCCAACATTTCTGCAGCTAAACAAAGTAGATATTAAATGAGTTTTGGCCCATTTTACAACCTTTTTGTAAAATGTTAATTGAATCACTGTAGTTGTAAAGTGGAACATGTAGTCATTAAGTGAATCCATTGTCTTTGCTTGTAAGAAGTTGGTTAGGAAGGTTACAAATGGTGATCCCAAGACAATGCAACTATCATAAATACTTGCCAGTTGCCAAATACATGAATTTTGATTGTACAACCATGACATGCTGCAAAGTTCATGAGTGTGAGAAATGGTCATAAGTCATTTTTTTCAATATTATTGTAGTTTCAGACTGTCACTAAACAAATAGTTGTAAGTTAAGGCCTACCTGTACTTCATTAACAGCATTATTGTAAATGTGTTTTGTATATAACGTTGACCTGTTCACAATCTTCGAAGTACTGTTATAGCTTCTTAGATAAGTGATTGGATCAAGATTCAAAAGTAGCTAAAGTAAACTTAATGAAACAAATACAGATAAGTTAATCGTAACTAACTTGCCCCATTATTTCACTGGTTCTAGTCTAATTAAAACTAAATTTAAATATTCTAGTTGAAGAGTTACCCAAAAACTGAAGGACAGAAAACCAATATGCTCAACATTAAACTGAACTAGCAAACTGATAATCTTTCCACAAACTTTTTGAGAAGCTATATTATATTATTTAAATTGTAATACTTATTTTAAATGTGCATCTGCTCCTATGAATTAAGACATACAAATTTAGCATAGATTATAGTATTTTTTCTATGTAGTTCCTCCTTTTCTGCAATGTGCAGCTGTAGTACTTTAAATGAGATCCTCATAGGTTATATTTGACTTAGCCAGTAATGAATTGCACACAGTTGCAACAAAGGAAACACCCTTATCAAAAATATGTACTTATGAGATTTTTGTACCAATTACACCCAACAAACTCTTAAGTGATTGTCTGCTTAAGAAATAAGAATTTCTCATTTCTCATAACAAAAAAAGAAAACTGCTAACAAAGTCTGTAAACCAATAAAAAATAAATTCTAATTTCTTTTTAAAGATCAGTACGGATCTCATCATCTTGAGGAGTTTCTAGATTTATTTCTGTAGTTTGATATACACACATTACAGTCAAAAGGAAGTTGTGAACTGGGGTACAGTGAAATGGCAGATGTTACAAATGAGAGCTTTAGAGAGTGTATTTGTCACTGCATTCATTTCCAGTCAGGCATAAAATTTGCATCACACCTCCTTTCTGGGAGATGAGGATGTATAATCAGTTTCTGTGGTAAAGAGCTGCTCTTAGAGCTTTATGGAGAGAAAAGAAGTAGAAAAAGGAAGGTGTGGAGTTTAATTTGGTAAAGGAATGAAGAAAGAGCATGTTCACTTCTTTGTGGAACCATTCTTTAGTGTAAAGTTTTCAACATCTGTTGATCTTTAGTCCTAGGAAAATATGCACATCATACTTGCAGGAACTCCCTTCTCATCTATTCTGATGCTTCCTGGGCTCAAATAACATTCACCAGAAGAAAATGCAGTGAGAAGCTTCACTCCAGCAAACTTTTACTTTTTCATACAAAATCTGGAAGCTGGATATTACAATATAGCTGAAATTATTCTGCTGGAAACTTCAATCCAGGGCTTAAAAACAACCATATTTTGCTGCTACTTATGTTTCTCACATCCTGTCCTTCTCCAGAATATATCGAATATAAAGAAGAAAAGGTGGCATTTTAGTTGCTGATGTGATGCCAAAATGATTTACCCAGCAAATGTAGTTGCAGCATATTAATATACATTTGATGATTAGAGAGTGATTCTGAGGGGATTGGAAAGTTATTTCATAAATCCATTCCCTTCTGTTTTAAATTGCCAAACGTTGACCTTCACTGTGACATTTTTGATAGCGTAATCTGAATATGTATTGTCTAGAGCAAATCCCACAGGACTATAGTTTTTAAAAATGTATGAATATTTCATACAGACATGCTTGAACAAAATGAATACTGTATATAAAGCAGGAAGGGAGATGGGAGCTCTTATTTCTAATGCTATACTGTTACAGTATATTAGAGAGGGCTTGGACATTTATTTCCTTTAATTTCTCATCACAATCACCTAACAAAGACGTCTGCTATGAATCTTGGAAATGTGTCAATCAGCTAACCCAATACAATTAGACATGTTTTAAATTTAGGTTTCACATTCAACATGCAGCCATAAACCAAAGCACCAACCATACTGTGTTGAAGATAAGAAACTGCTACAAAGAGCTCTAATACATGATAGTTACAGATAACTAATTATCAAATGATAATGGGATTCACTACATTGCAAAAAAAATGCAAATGGCTTCTAGTGTATCTTACCTTACATCAATGTATAATGCATTGACTTATAACCCAATATATATATAAAATTTCTAAGCCATGCATTTTGTCAATAAGCTGCTGTACAAATTACAGCCGAATTGAATTTCCCTTTGCCACCCCCACTCTTCCCATCATTTTGCACCAGCACTGGTCATCTGCAAAAGCATTAATAGGAAGGAGCTTTTGCAAGGCAGGCGATCTCTATTATTTTTCAAAAGAGAAGTTAAATTGTTACCAAATTGCAAGCATCTCATTTTTTTCAACAACTACAAAACATCAATACAACTTTGCCACCACTTTCTACTGCTACATTGAAAGAATAGTTGTAAGCGGCTACTTCCCCTAACCACTTTTATATCACTGTAATGACAATCAGCTACTCTATCTTTTTCAGGTGGTTTTTGTTCCCACTTTGAAAGTCCAGAAAATCACAAATTCAACAGTGGTGATGTATAAAATAGCTCAGCAGAATTTCCTCAGTGAGACCACATATTACTAAGTCTACTTTACTCTCAACTCTAAAACAAGGTAAATTGTTAGTGTCTGTTGCACAATGCAGAGTTTTCTAGAATTTTGTCACAACAGCAATGCAATGAAGCATCCATATCATCCACAACTTTCTGTGAATTTATTGAAGGTTCAATGGAGCTCCTACAATCATGAAAAAAGACAAGGTCAATAATGTCAGAAACCAAGTGACAAAATGTATATGCAATGAATAGGTTGCCACAGGGCTAGATGACACATTTTTGTATAGAATGTAGTTGGGGGATAGTACGACATCTGTTCAAACATAAAGATATAAAAGGTAACTGGTTTCATACTATGTGATAAGCCACTTCATGTAGACAATCAAAAGCTTCTATCATTATGTATTACATCCATGTTCCTTTTTCTCATTAACTGATCAGTGAAAATAGACAGGACCAACCTAAGGTTATGACTTTGTCTACTAAACTGCAACAACCCATGTTTAGATGCTGTGGAGAAGCATGATGAGTTCTAAAATGAGAAACAAAAACATCTGGTGATCTCTGAAGCATAAAACAGACAAGAAACTCTATAAAGCCTGATGACATTGAAAATGATCTTAATTTCTATTACATTCAAAATATTCAACATATGTACTGCATGTTCACTAAAATTGGGGCATTTATGATATCAAGATTCAATAGCATAACAGTATGCATTTGGGAGGATTCATTCCAACTGCTTTTTTTAATAAGGATTGTTAAAAAAAAATCACAAGAAGGATGCTTCAAATTTGCATAGTGGATACCACTAAGCAGCTGGAAATTTAGTATTAAAGATTCATAGGGAAGTCTGATGAAACAGTTTCTCTGTTGAGAGGGAAGAAGAATCTGACATCATGAAATAATCCGGGAACATGATAATATGGCATAGCATTTTCATTTAAAAGGACTCCTTAATAAATTTATATAGTATTTTTATTATTGTTTTCAGTTGATAAAATAATAAAATAAAATTAGATTTAAATTATGAGAATCACAGTTTAACCTAAATCATTCAGGAAGTTTTGAGTTTTGAGTCACATATTAAATGCTTTCTTTGACAGATATTTCCATAGTGGAACATTATCTTTGTTTCAAATATGTAGAGGGATGCCAGGAAAAAGATATGCAATGCTTTTCAAATTAAAACATTTTAAAAACGACAAGTGTGCATATCCATGATTATGTTAAATTTCCAAACTAATCAGTTTGGAAATTTAACATAGTCATGGATATGCACACTTGTTGTTTTCTAAATTTTTAATTTTAAAAAGGCTTCCAGAAATCTATTATTAAAACATCATCTTGGTTCCCCAAGGAACCAGGAGCATACCTTGCAAAAATCTGTAGGGTAGGTGCTCCTGCAGATTGTTTGTTCTTACCCTTCAAGACCACTCATTTATATGGGTCTTAATATACAAAATTAAAAACTTAACAAGTCCCCCATGATATAGAAAAGTGATGGCTAACTTTTTGGTGTTGCATGCTGAAAGTGTGTGTGTACATGTATGCGTGCCTGCACCCATAATGCAATGCTTGCATGATCCCCGCATGCACTACATGCCTATGCACGCATGCATGACCCCCGCATGCACCCTGCGCCTCTGCCTTTGTGTGCATCTCCCACATGTGCCCCACGCATGCGCTATAGATACCTGACAATCAGCTAGCTGGCGGGAGGCATGAGCGCATGCACAGTGGACCTGATCCTGGATGATTGCTCGTGTGCCAGTAGAAATGGCTCTGTGTGCCATTTCCGGCACGTGTGCCATAGGTTTGACATCATGTATATAGAAAGTGTGTTTTTGAAGCTAGCTACATTTCAATCCTTAAATTTTGAAGGCACATTCCAAAACTAGGACCATAAGTTAGTGAACATACTGTAATCTAGTTTTTTATGCTTATCATAATCAGTAAATAGTACCCTGATAAAATTTATATAAGCAATATTTACAAAAATGAGATTTAACAAGTAAACTATGGAATCTGTGGCATATGACCTATAACGTTTAGTAATTGATACTTTTGCAGCACAACTTGATAATATAAGTTACAGGTAAGCAACCATGAATCTCTTGTATGCATTTTCTTAGAACCCATACCAATCACAGATTCCAAA